GCGCTGATACACAATAAGGAGCGCCGTATGGTTCGTTGGGCGGAACACTTTCAAGATCAGTTCAGCTGGCCTCCTGCTCCCGGACCTCTTCCTACTCAGGTGATGCAGGACGAGCCATGGACGGTTAGTTTAAAGCCTACATCAGAGGCCGAGGTCCGAAACGGGATTACAGCCCTCAATCGTTTTCGTGCCGCTGGCCCGGATTCCCTCCCACCTGCACTATTTAAGGATGGAGGTGAGGTCCTCTGCAAAGCACTGACCTCCTTACTCGAATGTGTCTGGAAAGAAGAGAGCGTCCCGGCAAATTGGTGCGAATAGATTATAGTGGCAATATACAAGAAGGGCAGTCGCACAGACTGTTCTAACCACAGGGGTATTAGCCTAACGCCAATTGTGACAAAATTATTGGCCTCGATTCTCGTTCGTCGCCTCACCGCGGAACGGGAATCTCGGATTAGGGAAGAGCAGGCTGGTTTCCGCTCAGGACGTGCCGCAGGTGCTAGAGCAGCGCCACGCATACCGCAGACCGACAATAGCTGTGTTCCTCGATTTCAAGAGTGCGTTCGATTCAGTCGATCGATCGATTCTGTTCGAAATACTTGCGCAGAAAGGTGTTCCCACGAAATATGTGAACATCCTTCGTGCTCTATACTCGAACACTACAGGCTGCGTCAGGGTGTACGGTGGCCTATCGGATAGCTTTCCGACCACAGGTGGCGTTCGTCAGGGTTGTCCGATTTCCCCATTTTTGTTCAATTTCGTCGTGGATTCTATCATGGAGTGTTCCCTTACGGAATCTCACGATGTAGGCACTGAAGTGATGCCTGGTGAAAGGTTAGTTGATCTACATTATGCGGACGATATCGTCTTGCTTTTCGACGATGTTGCGGCGGCCCAATCAACCCTGAATAGCCTGTCCAGAGTGGTCCCATTATTTGGTATGCACTTCGCACCTTCAAAGTGCGAAGTGTTGCTGCAGGACCACCAGCCACTTGATGACCCATTGACGCTTGCTAACGAGGAACTCGAGGTGGTTGATCAATTCACTTACCTTGGCAGCTGCGTCAGCAATGATGGGCGCATAGAAACTGAGGTGAGCTCACGCATTGCAAAGGCCAGAGCTGCCTTCTTGAACCTGCGGCGTCTTTGGCGACAGAAGGGAGTTTCCCTTCGTCTGAAAGGCCGGGTATACAAGGCCACAGTGAGGGCCGTTCTGCTCTATGATAGTGAGACTTGGCCCCTTCGGTCTGAAGATGTGAGACGCCTTCAAGTCTTTGATCATCGTTGTCTGCGAAGCATTGCTGGAGTCGGATGGCACCAGCGTGTCCGCAACGATGATGTGCGTAGGTGAGTACTAGGTAATGATAATCATGCTAGCTCCCTAGAATAACAGATAGCACTGAATAAGTTGCGTTGGCTCGGGCACGTGCTACGTATGCCTGGTCACCGCTTACCTAGGAGAGCCTTGTTCAGTTTACCAGGTGTAGGGTGGCGCAAGGCTCGCGGTGCACAGAAGTTGACTTGGCAACGGGAAATGAAGACACTGACTACCAAACTTGGTACCGTTGGTCCGTCTCGCCTTCCGGGCTGAAGTCCACGTGACTCGTCTTGTGCTTCGCTCGAGACTTTACAGGATATGGCTCACAACCGACACCAGTGGCGCGTCTGCTGCCGTCTCCTAATCGGATTGCTGTTTAAAGTGTGTTTGGTGCTGAGTTATCTGCGGGATAATGGCTGATTATGACGCGTGGCAGTGAAAGCCGCAAGGAAGCTGTCTCACCGATGCCGCCTTATCTTTGCACGATAGCCAGCTGTTTGTGACGGTATGTTGTGTACACAAGGTGTAGGCGCCTTGATCCTGAATGTTTGCTTAGGGCATTAAGGTTTTCAGGTAAGTCCCCTTTCTCTCCCTCTTCTTATTCTTTATTTCATAGGTCCTCATGGTTGTGTGGCAGCGAAGCATCAGTTCAAATGGCTGATGTACTGCTGTTGATGATGATGATGATGATGATGATGATGATGATGATGATGATGATGATGATGATGATGATATTTGGAGTTTGCAACAAGTTATGTCAGAAAAGTTATCCCATTGATAACGGTCTTTTGATGCACAGTGTGCATGAGAAGTCACATACATATGCCTTGGTCTCACGATTTTTCATTCATTTTTTAGCCATTGAGCTTCACGCTTCGTGGGATACATAAACCTCAGTATCCACGAGGATTAGATATTGCCTAGAAGTGCAGCTTCTCAGTCCAATGCGAATGGAATATTGCCTCATCATGTAATATGTTGGAATGAACGCTCATGGTTCCGCCGGAAACAAATTGGGCAGCGTAACCATGCTTGTTTCCTACAACGGCGTTCAATACTGCGACAGGTTAATAGGCTATGTGGCAGCGAGTAGTCTTTAGGCGGCATAGCTTTTCAAGACTCCTGTCTCAAAACGTTACATTTCATAGTTGCATGGCCTAATTGAAAGGAATGCCGTTGTTGCTAAGGTGGGTTGTTGGAAGGTAACTTTCAGTCTACAAGAGCATTTCCAATAACCCTTTGGTCATTAGCTGGGATAACACAAAGCACCTATTGCGCACTCCTTGCTGAGGCCAGTTACGCCTGTCCAAGCGCAACCACAGCCCGGTAATGCGACACTACTGTTTCGATTTTGTACGCCTGTTTCCGTTCCAACCAGCCCTACACACCGTATGCATCGATCGGTTAATTTGCCTTTTAGTGTGCCGTATTTGACTCCAACTCAACCATCCGCGCCTATCCAGGTTTTTCACGTTGAACGAGACTGGCAAGTACACCTGTACTCTGGTGCGCTTTCCTGCGGCCATCACTCTGGTCGTTCTACACCCATGTGACATGGTGAGACATTTTGAGATAGACCAACAACTACTATTGGACAATTGGCAATTTATTGCGCTCTCTTCTCACCCGAAGTTGTGACTCTTGGTCCCCGAGTAACAGAGTAATAAAGGACAAGGCTTCTGGGTGTACCTGCAGTGATGATGTCGAAATCGTGCGAAACAATTTAGTTTCTCTTATTGCTGATTTTTTTGGGTCGACTAATATACGGACTTACGATATTTTACAAAGTTGACTTGTTAATTTCATAGTGTCGGCTTATACACGGTAATATACGGTACACTGTTATGGCCGTTAAATGGACGACACATTCGTCGTGGTAGACACTCCTCAGGAGTCGGCACACCTACCGGAAATCATGAGTAGGTGCCATCCCACCATCAAGTTCACGATCTTAAGCAAATCCTTTGGAAGCTACTATTTCTTAGATGTTAATTTACAGAGCAAGCGCCTTGTGTACAGAAAACCATCATTAATGTGACAATACCTGAACTTTGAAAGTTTCTGTCCTACGATTTATACCCAGCATTAGTAAGTACGACATTTGCTAGAGCTAGTCAAAGTTGTTCTCCAGAGACTAACGAATGGGTCCCGGAATGCGTCAGCTCTACATTACAAAAGAAGGGATATCCTGAAGGGATAGCACGAATTTACAGCCGGAAGACAAACCAACAACAGAAGTTCCAACGAAAAAAGAACTTGTTACGCCGCGGTTTGAAGGGTACTAATTTGATAGATGTTGGCATTCGTCCATCTCTTAAGAAGTGCTGGTACAGCAGCCAAGCTAGTGGCATTGCACCAAGTCCGATGAATGCTGTGCAAACCTAACCTGGACAGACCGGACCCACAAGTTACAGCTTTATTCACCTATCCCTTTGAATGTACTAGCGGTAGCAAGTACAATGGCCGGACTGAAAGAAGGTTGTCAGCGATGATTTCAGAGGACGTCCCGCGAAACGTGGTCGCAAACGGCTCCAAGTTACTCATTAGCTTTGTCGCACGCCACATACTTGATTGCCGCGTGTGCCAGAACCCACGTGGAGGGTTAAAGGTTATCGACAAGCAGAGTGAGCACCGCCTACTTCAGTTCGCCGAGGCCTCTGCCATTCGGCGGTTGAAACCAAATTTCTGCAAACAAACGGATTTCGTGACCAGAGTCGTCCCACTCCCGTGTAAGACAAGTGATCGTCTTCCCTCGGACAGGGGCACATGAACTTAGCGGCTTTCGACAGTTGTACTATTCGCCGATAACATCGCACTTTGATTGTCTTTAATAAACAATCCGCTCCTTTCATATATTGTATGTAAATAGCTGGGGAGGATAAGAAAAATTACTGAATTCAGTATGTTCTAATAAAAGGTGGTTTCTTCTTGTCCTAAGCAATCGTTGGTTAAAGGATCTCACTTTATACGACACTGCTGTTGGATACATGTATTGTCATGGTGTTGACAAACTCCATCCCGAGCCTCGATTATCGGAACACAATGAATGAACCGAAGTCGATCAAGGCAAAAGAACTCAATCGATTCAATGTGGGGCTGTGCTGAGTAGTTGATGCGCGATATATGTAAGGCCGATGGGTACGCAAACTACCAAACTGATCGGTAATTGACACTGTTGTGTTGAGTATCGTTAAACCAGCCAAGATCCCACAAACGTTTTCATTACGACTGATGAATTAGTTCATCGAATGCCAATGACACAGTCGTGTGCGGCAAATTTTGGAACAAAAGAACGTGAAGCAAACCATTATTCGATTGAAAACGTATGGCTATTACATTCTACAAAGTCAAGGAAGCATCAACCCGGTTGTCGGACGCGCGGCCAAATATCGTACGTGTAGCACTGCTGCACAGGAGTCCCAGAGGCAAGCAACCAGGCAGCACATGGTTAGACAAAAAGCCCTATATCACTGACAACCATATGTAGTAAAATAGCGCACGAAGATTGTAAACTTCGTGAGAGGTTTAACTTTAACCGCCAAATGCGGCTTTTCGTCACTTAATGAGGCGTTCAAACTCGTAGTTGATCTCATTACTTTCAAAGCTGTGCAGTCCAAAACAACATGCATTGTTAGCATAACCATTTAGTGTGTTACGGGAGAGAACGTACGAGAGAACGTACTCTCTGGTTACTCCTGCAATCCATGTCGCCACACTTGGTGATAATTAGTTTCCGCTCAGTGTCTGATATCTTTGGGTGGTTATTCGGGGAATCGTACACGAGTAGAGCCCACAGAAATGCATACGCCAGACTGCAAGCACCTGAGAAAGCAAACGAGGCACACATGATTACCGGAATGCAAATTGAAAGTGATGCGACCAGTTAACCTTTTGCACACGCATGTCATATTGCACTGGATGAGACATAGAAGCTTGGAATTTTTACTGGAATTATGGGAAATTCTCTTCCCTTATCGGACGATACAGGGTACATAAAATAAGCAAGATATGTGGATGCAACTGCAAGTGGTTTTAATACACAACTGAAGTCAGTGCCTAACCATCAGCAATCCTCAGTGCAAAGACCTTGTTACTCCCTTCTGCTGTCCAGTTAGCCTGCGCTCTGAAAGTCACAATGCCAAGTTTCCGAGACGGCAACTCTGTCAGAACCATGAATGTAAACTTTTATTAAAAGAATAGCTTATAGAAACAGCAAATAAGTAGTTAACAGTCATCCGGAATGGAGACGAAGTGTAGGGCTATTCGATTTGATGGGGTCAGACAGCAATCTATGCACCAGTAAAGGGTGCATTCGCAACCAAGAACCGGCTCTAGGATGCGCCTTTTCCATCTCTCAGAAGCTCACTTGTGTCTATACAAAAACAAGGATCCTGAAAACATAATTCTTTTGTTACCGTGTTGACAGTGATCCTCATCAATAGCAAGATTAATGTTTTGTTCAAGCGCCTCGTCATAACACGGGTCGAAAATAAGTGACACTGCCCTGAGGATAAGGAAAGCGAATGTTGACGAACGGCTGCAAACACGCCGGGTGGAGACTCAGGGTGAGCGCAACTCGTCTCACAAGCACTGCGTAGTTGCAAATAGCTGACTACCGCCTTAAGATAGGGCAGTAGCGGAGAGGCAATTTTCCAGGATTTCCACTGCTCTGTTTTAAAAGTAACGGTATTCCACAGATGAATCAACATAGCACACATGTATATATAAAACTCAAGTAGTGTGACTGGCAGACAACGGCGAGAGTAAGTTGAACAGCAATGATCCGGCCGCGAGGTAAAAAACTATGTTCAATGCCGCCTAATTCATTTCGCTTTATCAGTATCGTCAAAAGTTTGTGGCCAACAGCGAAACGAAAAGCTATGACTCGTAAGTACTGTAGTGCAAAAATCAAACCAAGAAGGCTTATCTACATAAAGGAACTACCAGCCTTTGAGGCATAATGATCAGACCCAACATTCGGAAAGGTAAGATCCTCGGTAGTCCGGCAATTAGTTGCGCAAGATGATACGAAGTCGAGCTTTTACTCAGTAAGATAATTCCGCGTGATGGATCCGATGATCGATGACCGAGGCAAGCAGACCGACGAGCGGCAACAACATAAGCGTACCCCAAAGCCAGAAGGCGAATCGAAATTCGAAGAAACGATTTTCAGCTTTTAGTTAATTAAAACACTAGTACAATAAATGATAGAAACAAGAATAAGTAGGTACAGTTGGACAGATGGCACTGTACGATTTCTACAGCTTCATAACCGGATCAGTTCAACATAGTTAAACAACTAGGATCAGAGCACCGAAAAGCAGTGGAGCCAGTTGTCACGGCTCACGTCGTTAGATTTACAATAAGTAAAAATAGAAACGAAGTGAGGCTGAAAGTCAGCAGAATAAAAGTATATGGAGTTAAGGGAGAAATACAAAAGCCTACCGGGATGGAATGAAATTCGACAGCTAGATGAAAGGAGGTGAGTATATATATATTATATGTATATATATATATGTATATATATATGCTTATGGTACAAATATTGTGCCATGAGAATCATAGCTGAACAGGAAAACAGTATGAATAATAAGAAAATATACAGTCTCCAACCACTGATGTGGAACATCATGGGACCTGCAATCACGAAGAAGGCACGCGCCAGCCTGACCAAGTTTCACGGCAAATTTGTTCATGCCTCTATGTCATGTCATCGGCTAGCCACCTCGCGCTTTCTCCCAAATCAGTGCGGCCATTGCCTATAATGTAAGCTGAGGGAACCGGTCAACGGGCATACCCGGGACGTTGCTTAGCCAACGTAAGCGATTAAAACTCACCGAACAATTGAGTGAGGCACCAGAAGATTTCTTGCCAAGAACAAACTGTTGGACAACAGCATTGCTCGCCCGGTGTGCCCACCAGACGTATGCAATACTTCGCAAGCACCGGTGGTCAAACCTGACCAAGCGCATAAGGTATTCTCCGCGAACTGACCAAGTATCTAGACCATACAGTAACACAGGAGTTAATGCAACGTTAAAGATTCTGATTTTCACGGACAAACTGATATCCCGCCGTCTTCATAGATGATTGAGTCTTTGGAAAGCCATACGAGCCTTGGTGATGCGTGGAGTAACCTCTGCAATGATGGGACCACCAGACGGCGCACAGCTATTAAGGTATGTGACCCGATACACCACATCCAGTGGTTGTTCGGAAATAGCTAAAACCAAAGGTGTGTCGGCTTAGTCCTGCAACGGCAATTTGCACTTTGAAGATGCAGAGCACATACCGAAAGGTGTGGCGCTACGCATCAGTCTGTGCATTAGTGATTGCATAGCCACTGCGACAGATCCAGTAAAAGCTATGTCAACCGCATACGCCAGGTGTCAGTTGGTCACCTGGCAGAATTTCCACTTCGGTAGACTGAAAGCACCAACTGGTTCATGAACATATTTATCACATAGTTGAACGGAAAAGGAGATATAGGACAACCCTGGTGAACCCCACTTATCGTGGGCAACTCAGAAGACAATTTCCTGTATATACTTACACGGTCTCGAGAGTTCCGGTAGAAAGACTACATCATGAAAAGGAATGTAGCTGGCACGCCCTTCATGGATAGGCCGTGCCACAAGCTAGTGCGGTCAACAGAGTCGAAGGCGTCTATCAAGTCAAGGAAAACAACCATAGTCGGTCGTCTGTATGTATGCTCTGTTCTAAAACTTGGCGAAGAGCAAATATGTGGTCGATGCAACCACAACCAGGGCGGAAGCCAGCGTGATTTTCAGTGCTTTAGATTATTCCTCTCTATCCTCTCTCCATCTTCTCGCGGTATTGTCACTGTACGCCCATACGAACCAGATTTACTAGCCCTATACAGTGATCCATCATACGGGGAAATATCTTCTGCGATTAGAGTCCGTGCCATCACTAAGCCTTTTCACTGGCATCCGTGATTAAGCGCAAATGGATAACTCAAACATACTGAGCCGATTGCCTTTCTGTGTGACACCATTCGATACAGAATTCTCGAGGCAGTCCGAAAAGCCTCAGCTTATTCCGATCCAGCGTTTCTCAACACAGCTGTGAAAGAATGTGTGATCTCTCAATCTGTGTTCAGTGATGTGTTCAGATTCAGTTAGCAGGTTCCAGTCACTCATCATTCCTTGTGACTTTGTCAGCCAGTGCATCTGCATAACCCATCACATGGACCGCGCGACCACGCCGACCGCTCATTTGACCTTGCAACTACCACTCTCGCCTGACCAATGTGCGTCACTCTCAAATTTGGCGAAGTACAGAACGCTAACCAACCCACTGGGTCAGCTAATGACACCACGTTTAATGGCAGAACTGCGATTCCGAAAAAGCTCCAAGCGAGAGGCATTTGCAGGTTAGGAGAATGTCATCAAGTAGTTAAAAGCGACCTGGCTTGCACGCGCTTTTTGGAATGGTATCATCCGAAATGTGTAAATGTGTCCCAACAACAGTTATGAGAGCGAAATAGCTCCGAAGACGCAGTTTGGTTCTGTACTGCGTGCTCCACCATCCCACTCGTTAAGTGCTTGCTTATCCCAGTTCAGAAGTTCGACCGGTTAACCGCAGCAGCCGAGCAGAGGATAAACGATAAGATTACGTTAAAGGAAGCCAGTATGCACCGTGGAAGCGTAGCGATTTCTAAGCTACGGAATGCAGCACAATCCGCCTCAGCTGAACCGCAATCAGCCACGTCCCCACCTTCCCGTTGTCTGCTCCAACTTTGGTAGAATGCCGGGCGAAAACTGCCCGTACCTACAAGAGTCGAACAGTACTCATGGCAACAAAAATCAGGCACCACTCGGAAAGTCTGGTCAAGCAACTTCCACTAGATCTGACATTTAGCATTAACAAGGATGAAGCAGCCGAACACAAGCCCTCGGTATCTGCAGCTCAAATATCTCTTGTTGAGGCAAAGCCCCCCAGGACATCAGTTACATATGCAGAGATTGCTGCATGGGTCCCATGGGAGGCCGCCGTTGTGGCCTCTTCTGTTGTAAACACCGTTAACGCGAATAGAGGGACAAACGGTAAACAATCAACATTTGTCAACAGGTCAGGAAAATCGAGTATCCTACCTTGTAAATCAATGAAAAAGGGATCCAACAATGGTGCTCGGACTGTTGTATGCTCAAAGGTTCCTGAATCTAAAGCCACCATATTGCGGGATAAGTTATCGGACGACTAAGACCAATGAAACTCATTGTGCGTGCTGATGAGTGTCAAAGCCAAGCCCATAAACTTATTGCGAATTACTCCTCATCCGGACTCCCTACTCTATGGAGAACCCAGACATATTCGAGTAACACTAGAAGCCTCCACCAACGTAGAAAACGTTTTGCTCTCCGCAAGCGCGCTAAAACACGGATCCTGTGGGACACGCATCTATCCTGATGTCCTTTGGAGCGCGCGACAAAGAGAAACACCGAAGAGGAACACAGCAAGCAAGGCAGCCTAAACAAAATCTTACTATACGGCGTGCCAGAACACCCTTCTGACGATGTTAAAGAGACCGGAAAGCACGACTTAGAACAGTGCCGGTTCATTCGTGGAACACTTTCTTTAAATAATATTGTAGCGCTATCGCTCACCAGGATATCTCTCTCACCAAATTATAGAGGATGCGGCCCTAGAATCTTAAAACTTGTGGTCCAGTCAGAGCAACAAGTAACGGATGTTTTGGATCGATGGCGGAGAAATCGGAAAAGTATCCTTTCTGAACTTCGGTTAAAGGTTGCAAAAGCTTTGTGCAGTTCAAATATCAAAGCACCTGACGCAGCAAG